TCCCATGAGGCTCTGCATGGTGTGGTAGTTACATAGTTAATTTTTATGGGTACATACAAAATTTTGTGTTATACACAAAAATTAAAAATAAGGCCAGGCATGGTGGGTCACACCTGTAATCCCAGCACTTTGGGGAGCTGAGGTTGGGTAGATCACCTGAGGTCAGGAGTTTGAGACCAGCCTGGCCAACATGGTAAAAACCTGTCTCTATTAAAAATACAACAACAACAACAACAACAACAACAACAAAAGCCTGGTGTGGGTGTGGTGATGGACATTTGTAGTCCCAGCTACCCAGGAGGCTGAGGCAGAAGAATCACTTGAACCTGGGAGGCAGAAGTTGCAGTGAACAGAGATCATGCTACTGCACTCCAGCCTGGGCAACAAGAACAAAACACTGTCTCAAAAAATAATTAATTTTTAAAAATAAAGTAGGAATATATTTAATGAAAGAAGTACAAACCATACTCTGACAGCTATATGACTTTGTTGAAAGAAACTAAGAAACCAAAGATTGGAAAAACATCCTATGTTCATGGAGACCTAAGGTCATTTAGAAGGCAGTAGTCACCAAACTAATATACAGATCCAGTGCAATCCCTGTGAGAACCCCACCTGACTTCTTTGCAGAAAATGATGAGCTGGTTTTTCTTTTTTTTTTTTTTTTAAGACGGAGTTTTGCTCTTATTGCCCAGGCTGGGGTGCAATGATGCAATCCTGGCTCACTGAAACCTCCGCCTCCTGGGTTCAAGCGATTCTTCTGCCTCAGCCTCTTAAGTAGCTGGGATTATAGGCATGTGCCACCATGTCCAGCTAATTTTTGTATTTGTAGTAGAGATGGGGTTTTACCATGTTGGTCAGGCTGCTCTCGAACTCCTGACCTCAGGTGATCCACCCATCTTGGCCTCCCAAAGTGAAGGGATTACAGGCATGAGCCAACACGCCCAGCCATGATAAGCTGATTCTGAAATTCATATGGATTGCAAGGGATCCACGGTAGCTAAAACAATCTTGAAAATGAAGAAAAATGTAGAATGCACTCTTCCTGACTTGACAACTTCATACAAACCAACAGTAATGAAGGCAGTGTGGTACTAACTAGGACAGACATACAAATTAATAGAACCGAGTCCAAAAATTAAACCCTGGCATTCATGGTCAGTTGATTTCCAACAAGGCTGCTCGAACCATCCAATGGGGAAAAGAATAATAGCCTTTTAAGAAACGATACTGGGAGAACTGGATAGCTATGTGAGAAAGAATGAACGTGGCTGGATGCAGTGGCTCATGCCTGTAACCCCAATTCAGGAGGATCGCTTGAGGCCAGGAGTTTGAGACCAGCCTGGCAACACAGTGAGATCCTGTCTCTATTTAAAAAAAATGAAAGAAAAAATTAAATTAGTTGGGCTTAGTGGCGCATACCTATAGTCTTAGCTATTTTGTAGGCTGAGGTAGGGGGAGTGCCTGAGCTTGGGAGTTTGAGGTTACAGTGAAGTATGATCATACCACTGCACTCCAGCCTGGGTGACTGAGTAAGACCCTGTCTCTTAAAAAAAAAAATTAACCTGAACTCTCACTATATACAAGATTATTTTGAATCAAAAGCCTAAAGGTAAGAGCTAAAACTATAAAACACTTAGAAGAAAACAGGAGGAAATCATGACAATTTGGACAAAAGATTCTTAAGTTATAACACCTGAAACAAAGCAATAAAATTGCCAAAATTTAAAATGTTTCTGCTTCAAAGAACATTGAGAATGTGAAAAATACAATTCACAGAATGGGAGGAAAATTTGCAAATTATGTATCTGATAAGGAATCATATTTGTAACCTATAAAGATCAGCTTATAATAGACAATCCAGTTTACAAAATGATTAAAGAGCCAGGTGCGGTGGCTTATGTCTGTAATCCCAGCATTTTGGGAGGCCAAGGCAGGCAGATCACCTGAGGTTGGGAGTTCGAGACCAGCCTGACCAACATGGAGAAACCCCGTCTCTATTAAAAATACAAAAATTAGCCGGGCATGGTGGTGCATTCCTGTAATCCCAGCTACTCGGGAGGCTGAGGCAGGAGAATCGCTTGAACCTGGGAGGTGGAGGTTGCTGTGAGCTGAGATTGCGCCCTTGTACTCCAGCCTGAGCAACAAGAACAAAACTTCGTCTCAACAGCAGCAACCAACACCACCACAAAAAAAAAGAGCAAAGAATCTGAATTGATACTTCTCCAGGAAGATATGCAAATAAATACACATAAAAAGATGCTTGGTATCATTAGTCACTAGATAAATGCGAATCATAGTCACAGATGCCACTCACATCAACGAGGATGACTATAATGAGACAGTCAGATAATAGTTGTTGGCAAGGATGTGAACAATTTGTAACCTTTATATACCGCTGTTGGGAATACATGTTGGTATAGCTGCTTTGGAAGACAATCTGGCAATATCTCAAATGATTAAACAGTTCCCTATGGCTCAGCAATGCCACGGTTAGGCATGTAACCAAGAGAAATGGAAATATGCCCACACAAAAACTTGTACACAAATGTGTGTAGCGGTCATTAATAACAGGCAAAAGGCAGAAACAACTGAAATGTCCATCCGCTGATGAACAAAACTTTGTGTCCACACAATGGAATGCTGAATATTCAGCAGCCATTGAGAACGACATTTTGACATATGCTACAACACGGACGGGCCTTGAAAACCTGCTGTGTGAAAGAAGTGTCACAAAAGACTATGTATTATTCCCTTCATAGGAAATGTCCAGAAAGGGAAATCTGCGGGAGCACACTTAGGGATGGGAAATAGGATAACTAAAAGGTATAGAAATTCTTTTCCGAGGTGATGAAATGTTCTGAAATTGACTGTGGTGATTGTTGCACATATCTGAACATATTTAAAACCATTTAATCGTATACTTTGAATTGTATTACCTCAGAGTTCTTTAAAAGAGACTGTGGTAGAAAACATGCAGCTAAAATAGTTGTCAGGCACTGTGCTCAACAACATACATTTCCTCTGTTCCTTCCAACAGCAATCTTGTCGAGTGGCAATAGCCCATTTTACAGATAAACTGAGGCCCAGAGAACATACTGCCTGAGAATATGTTGCTTATTTTATTTTTTTGAGACAGTCTCACTCTGCTGCCCAGGCTGGAGTGCAGTGGTGTGATTTTGGCTCCCTGCAGCCTCCGCCTCGGGGGTTCAAGCAATTCTCGTGTTTCAGCCTCCCAAGTAGTTGGGGTTACAAGCATGCGTGACTACACTGGCTCGTTTTTGAAGTTTTAGTAGAGACGGGATTTCACCACGTTGGCCAGGCTGGTCTTGAATTCGGCCTCCCAAAGTGCTGGGATTACAGGTATGAGCCACTGTGCCCAGCAATATATTGCTTCTTATAACAAAGGTGTCCTAAAGCAAGTTCTCTGATCCCACAATGAACTTAAGGACTAGACAGGGAGTCAGGAAGTTACGCAGTGTCCAGGTCATCTAGGGCCTGTCAAGTTCTACTTTCAATTAATGGAAGGTTTTGAGCAGAAAGCTCCATGATACTCATTTTTTTCTTGTTGCTAGGTATAGAATGGACTGGGCAACAAGTTCGCATAGGAGGTATTGCAGTTGTCTGGGCAGGGTGATCTGTGACTGTCTACAGTAGTGCCCCCTTGTCTGAAGTTTCACTTTCTGTGGTTTGCAACCAGCAACCAGAATCTGAAAATATGAAATGGAGAATTCCAGAAATAAACAACTTGTATGTTTTAAACTGTGCCACCCACCTGAGCAGTGTGTGAAAACCTCACACCATCCCATTGTCCTGCCTGGACCTCTATCCTTGTCCAGCACATCCGTGCACAGCTGCTTGGTAGCCATCTTGGTTGTCAGATGAACATGGTGGCACTCGAGTGCTTGAGCCTGTTATTTAATCATGGCCCCAAAGCACGGGAGTCCTGTGACTAACTTATAACCTACCATAGGTATGCATGTAGAGGAAAAAATTTAGTGGATATAGGGCTAGGTACTCCCTGTGGTTTCAGGAATCCACTGGTGGTCTTAGAACATAGCCCCTCTGGATATAGAGCATGCACCGGACCTTCAAGTTACCTCCTGAATCTGTCCTCTTTCCTCTTTGCGACTATTCTAGTCAAAGCTAGTCAACTTCGGTGGTGAACCTGAATACAATGCCATCTTCTCGTAAAGGGAACTGAAGGTTATGTTAAGTACATGACTACTTCTGCAGCGCCTAATCCTACAAATCCTCATTTGTTGTTTACAATTTGCAGTTACTCATCCTGACAATATTAGAGGTCAGTGAAAATGACTGCAGGAATCACCATCTTCCGTGTTGTTGAAGGTCTGGTTGGGCCAAAGCCTTTAACATACTGGTCACAAATTCATTGTTGGGCATTTATTTGATCAGTTGCCTAAGAAGCCATGCTATTTTAGAAGGCTTAAATAGTGGCTACACTTAAAAGTTACTTAGTTATACATATAACTAAAGTTACATGATTATACAGCTGTGCCCATTGTTGAAATATTCCCAATACAGATGAATATAGAGAGGCACAGAAGTGATACCAACAGAAGAGGGACAAAGTAACACTGATAATGGTGAAAGCAGCAAGTTGGAGAAGTGTGGGGGAGACCTCCTGTAAGGTCATTAGATCGTAGCCCATTCAGGACCAGTTACTATCAAATAGGCCTCCGCATGTTGTTCTGTCGAGCAAATCTTCACCAATATTTTACAAAGCCTTTATTCCTCTCAAACACTTCTATCTAGGAAGCCTTCAAGATCTGTCCAGGCAGAATTACCTACACCTGACCTGAGTAGTTATTAACCTCACCACCAAGACTAAGTATCTTTTTGGGTATATTGTTTACCTTACTACTATGATACTAAGTACCTTGTTTAACCAGTGCATTGATAATCACAGATACATGGTTGCTACCAGGTCCAAGAATGACTATCATTCACCTGCTATCCTAAAATGTTGTAGCAACACATTTTAAGGAGCAGTGTTTTTATTCAAGCTATATAGACATTTATACATAAGTACATACATTCATTTAAAATATATAAAGTTCATTTAGAACAGGCAATTTTTTTGCTTATGATGTACATTCACAGAGGGGAAAAAAGTACATCCATTAAAAACAGGTACCACACAACTATATTCACCAAATTGCATTGGTTTAAAAAACTATTACTTGACATACATTTCGCCCATTTTTTCATTGTGCTACTTGCACAAAAGGAATGAAATTATTTACTGAATTGTTTAGATCTTTATTCATTTAACAAGTTCATTTAAGTTCAATATTCCATAAATGACAAGCAGCTTAAATACAGGTTTGATAACTGTCACTAAAGTAGTGATAAAGTCAGTAAATTTCTCGACGAGGCAGTGTAACACCCACCACTAGCCTGACTAAAAGGCCGTACTCGCACGGCGACTTTCACACTGTCAGTACTTGGCGTAGGCATTTTCATCCATTTCTCATTATCCATATTGTGATTTGGTAGAAAAATAATGCAGAAAGCACACTGCTTATGCTTCACATTAAAACATTAAAAGCTTAGCCAACAAAAGCAGTTCATTTCTAGATGATCAATTATTAATAGACCGTTCATTACACACTATCAATTACCTGTTATAAATTATTTTACCACACTTGTTTATTGATGAATTTTAGAGCCTACATCGAGTATCACTGCTTAACTGCACAGGTGTACTGCAGAGAACAGGGTGTTTGTTTTTTGCTTTTCCTTTTCTACATCTACTCACACTCTCCCCAACCTCAATAATCTGTGCCTGAGGTCCTGTGAGAATCTGCCCGTTCTAAAACCTGAATATTAAGGGATTTCTGTGGTTCGGTAACAAGCTCCTTCACAGCAATATTATAAAAATTTGTTCAGACGTTTCATCCTATCAATATTAGGCACACACAAGATGCACTGAATATCCATAAATTTATTTTACATTTTCCTTTGTCAAATCCTTTGATAAGGTGCAAGTGAGCAGTGAACCGGTCAATCTAACCTGGATTAGTCTTTGAATAATTAAGACTTTAAAGATAAAGAGCCTTTAAGCTTGCTGAAATAAGAGATGCCACCGGTATAGCTAACCAATGCATTACTTGGATTATCCATTTGAGGTAGGTTACGCAAAATTTGTGAAACTACAAAGATGGCAAAATTACATGCCCATAGTTCAATTTTAACACAGTAACAGCCCAAAACAATAAAATACATTTTATGATTAGAAATCTTAATCACAGAATCAAAGTGCATAAATTATAAAATAGTAACTGTAAAAAGAAGTTTCAATAGTTCGATCATCCCCATTTTAAGACTGGTCTAATATTTTAATTACAGAGAAAATGAGACCAATGAGCATATAAAATTATTGAAACAGATGCCCCTCCCTTTCAAAAATCTAATAGACACAAACTACTGTGAAGTATATACTTTATTTAACATTCCAATAATCCATATTTACATATTATATAAATGTATGAAGTCTTAATATAAAATAGAAAAACTGCCTGTACTAAAACAATCACTCCATATGGAGTTACTTTACTTATTGAAGACCTTATGTTTACATAAAAATTTACAATAATTTATATAAATTATTTTCTTCCAAACTAGATATTTAGTAATCCACAATATCCTGATGACTTTACAAATAGGTGTACATTAAAAACTTGCCAAGAAATTACAGCATTTTTCTGCGTAAAATCTGCTTTGGAAAGGAAGACAGTTTCTTTCTGTTCCTCCCAAGACCTTTCCCCGTCACTTCCGCAGCTTTTCTTGGTTTGCTTTTGACCCCATCGACTGGGCTTGCCAAGGGAGAAATCAGCTTAATTTCTACGGGAGGAGGTGACCAAGCACTTTCTTTTTCTGTGTTTCTGAAAAAAAAAGGTATGATCAAGTAAGAATAAACACACGATCTTATAAAACTGGCTTCCCAACATGTTGAAAGAAACCTTAGGGGCTGCTTAGTGCTTTCATTTTATTAAACATGTAATGGTTTCAAGAAACCACTGAAGTGAAGCTTAAAGCTTCACTTATAAGCTAATGAGAAACAGAGTTACAGTTTCATTAAGCGGAATTTTTCTTTCTTTTTGGATTAGAATATTTACAAACAATTCAATTATTGAATTTTCCCCTAAATGTTTCAAATGTATTAAAAAATGCTGCTGGATTACAAGGATGGGCCAAGGACTAGTAGCCAGCCCAGGGGATGAGCGCCCAGCAAGGCCCATGTGGCATATCGGAAATGTCAATTATCAAACACCAGCAATTAGCAACTATGTATAGAATTTCACAAACATGAGCTTCTCAAATATATATAATACCAATTTATATGTAAACAGTGATATCAGTCAATAGTGTATTAAATCCATTTTTAGATAAAATGCATCAACTTGTGCTTTTATTAAATTCAACCATGCCTAACTAAGCACAGCATGAACAAGATACTGTGTAACAAATCTAATTTTCCCATGGATACAGTTTTATTGCTTTTTGTAAAATAACTGCAGAATTTAAAAGTATATAGTTATTTTTTACTAACAGTTACCTAACTTTACTGACAAAGAGGTAAACCGTCCCATTTCCCTCCCCCACTTGCTGCTTTTCTGAAAAAACCAGAAGGATCCCCTGGGAACTAAACTGCTCCCATCCTACCATCCTCCTCTTAAAAGGATCAGGCTTTCATGCTTTTAATATGTAGAGAAATCTACCTTCAGCAGTAAAATCCAACAATGCCAGGGAGCCAGTGCTTGTAAATGCCCCTGAAAATTAATCTTTTCTGATGAGCTTATCCTTTTTAAAATTAAGTCTTCTCAAATCTAATTTTGAGGAAAAAATGGATAAAAATTACAGAACAAGGCTGGGCGTGATGGCTCACTCCTGTGATCCCAGCACAGGAGGATCACCTGAGGCCAGGAGTTCAAGACCAGCCTGGCCAACATGACAAAAACCTCGTCTCTACTAAAAATACAAAAATTAGCCAGGTGTGGTGATAGACGCCTGTAGTCCCAGCTACTCAGGAGGTGGAGGCATGAGAATTGTCTGAACCTGGGAGGCAAGAGGCTGCAGTGAGCCGGGATGGATCACACCACTGCACTGCAGCTCGGGTGACATAGTGAAACTCTGTCTCAATCTATCAATGACAACAGAAAGTCATACTTGCTTGCTTGTTTTGTTTTTGAAGTCTTGATTCGTCTGGCTTTTGGCTTTCCCACAGTTTCTACTGGTTGTGCATCATCTTCCTATGGGTTAAAAATTTTAAAAAGTTAAGTATTTAAACACGAATCTAATTTTAAAACTTCTATCCTGAGACAAGGAATACCATAGCCCAAACACTGCTGATGAATTCAAACTCACCAAGTCCAATCCTTTCCTCACTTTTTAGTAAAAAACCTTAGTTATATAGGACTGTTCTTTATTCCTCGTTCCCACAATTCAACTCATCTCCAAGTTACCAGTTTTATTTTTGAATGTTTCCATTGTCCTCTGCCCTTCTGTACCCATTCCCTTGTCCATATCTAGGCTCTCGCTTTGTAAGAAGCAGCCAACCAGAGAGTATTCTTTCCTACCCACATTTCATCTTTCATAGAAAATGTGTATAATACACACATGGCTATTTGTTGTTCATGAACACTCCTCATCTGCCTGCCATTGCCATGCTCTGAGTCTTTGCATCTGCTGTTTACTCTGCCAGGCGGAATACCTGTTTTCTCTAACCTCTGTCTACAGAGTTTTTGGGTATAAATGATTCTTATCATGCCATGAAATAATTATTTTTGTCTCTTCAATGAAACTGTGTATCTCAATTGAACTGTAGGTGCCTGAAAGATGAGGAGGTTTGCCTGAGTTTTGTGTAACTTGGCCTTGCAGATTAAGGGACTGATGGCAGATAATTCAGTAAATACTTATGAATTAACACTTATAAACATAAGAGACTCACACTCAATCCTTCAACTATTTCTTAAAAAAAACACCACCAGGTAATTCTGATGGGCACTAGAATTTAAAAACTTTTCCACTAACTGGTAATTTAAACTAGCTGCTAGTAAAATATCATCAGTAACACACCACAGATCTGTCTTAAAGGCAGGGTCTCCGAAGGGGTAGAAAAGACCATATTGGGCTTTCAGTATACACGACTGCTTAAGACATTTACTTAACAAAATTTAAAATCTTTAAAATTTAAATTAAAATTTTATTGTTTTGTATTTTTTAAAAAAAGTATGTTTTAACAAACACACAAATAAATGGATGCGATTCTTACCAGTTCATCTTCAAGCTTTTTCTTACTGGACGTGTTTTTTTGTCTGCTCCTTAAAGCAGGAGGTGAGATAACAAAAGGAGAAGATAAATCCGTAACTAATTCTTTTAGCTGTGCAGGAACCTCTATTTTTTTAGCTAAAAAAAAGTTGAAAAATCTGTTATTTGTATCTTTATATCTATATATATCTATATATGTGTGTGCATATTATATATATTAAAAAACACAATAAAAACTGGAACAAATGATGTGCTTTAGAAAGATACAAACACCCCCAAACCTGGAAATCATTAGTACTGTAACCTACCTTTCCATGTTAGGAGAGAAATGACAGGAAAAATTCCATCATTTGGGTAAGCCATATGTTTAGGACTATCTAATGCTTCTAACTAGAAAGTGCTACAATATAAACACAGGCCATGAAAACAGGTACTCAACTGTTTTAGTCTTTTCCTTTTAATCCTTCCTGCTCCTCAAGCTTTCTGGGCAGGGAAAGCATTAATCCTAAATATAACCTGAGCTTGTCTGTGCCATAACTACTGCTTTTCCAGAGACAATGTTAGTTACAAAGTAGATTTTTTATTTTCAAAGAAGTGAAACTTTCTAGCCAGCTCATTCTGAACTACTTGTTCCAGTCAAAGGGAACAGAAAAATTTATGTACACAAAAGGTGAAAGTGCCAGGCGCAGTGGCTCACAACTGTAATCCCAGCACTTTGAGAAGTTGAGGCAGGGGGACAGCTTGAGGCCACAAGTTCAAGGCTAGCCTGATAGATAAAGTGAGACCCCTGTCTCTACAAAAAATCTAAAAAACAATTAGTCGATGTGGTAGTGTACGCCTGTGGTCCCAGCTACTTGGGTGGGTGAGGCAGGACGACCACCTGAGCCTGGGAAGCTGAGGCTGCAGTTAGCCATGACTGTGGCCACTGCACTGCACCCTGGGTAAGAGCATAAAAGGCTAGCAGGAAGATATTCCATAGATAAACAACAACTGGTTTAAAATACGGAATTAAAAACATTTACCACATACTTTTTTCTTTTTTAAACCATAGGGCCCCCAGTTTAAAAGGAATGATCAGTACAATTACAGAGGACCACAGGGTGGTTTAACCAGTCTGCCAGGGTAAATCCCAGCTTCTGGACTTTCTGTGAGACCAGAATCAAGTAACTTAAAGCTCTCTGTGCATCAGTTTCTATAAAGTAGGGTTGATAATAGCATCTATCTCAAACTTATTCTGAGGATTCAAGAACCAGAACAGTGTGTGGCATGGCAGGTGGTAAATGCTTTACAGATGTTTGCATTTGTTATTTCAAGAATATAATTTACAAACCCTTGAAATCAAATTATAGTTCAATGTTATTTCAGCTACTGGGGCAGTCAAGAGTTCTATCAGGTATCAAATTCTGCTTTTAAAGCACAGGATTCTTCAAAACAATTTTTTTGTGGGTACATAGTAGGTATATATCTTTATTAGCATATGATTCTTTTTTTTTTTT